TGGAAATATGGTGTTCGCGATTGGGGGCAAACACGAGGTGGCAATCGGTGAGAAGGCATTTATGCTGACCGATGCCATACTTGAAGTAGAGATTCGGTACGAGTTCTTTTTAGGTCCCCTGTATTTTGGTGTCTACACTATAAAACCTTAAATCGAGGTTTGACTGTATTAGCATGTTTTAAATGAATTTATTAAAAATTTATTAAATGAAATTATTATATTTTATTTGTTCAATTAATGTGTGGTGGGCTGACTTGGTCAATCCACAATTTTCAAATTGAATTATGGTTAAAAACTTTTATCACAAATTGTTGTATGAAGAGATATCTATCGTAATATTTAACCTAATACTGTAGTAATGTTAAACTGAACAATTACAAATACAACAATTATTTAATGTACCACAAAGTTTTTAATTATTATTTACTATAATTATAAACAAATGTCGGGTATACAAGACTAATTTTAAGTTTATTGACAAATGTAAGTATTTGGTTAAACAAAATGCAAATACTAAAGATAATATCATTAATAATAAACTGTAAATAATAATGATTATAAAGTGTTAATTATTCGTAATCTATCTAATTAAGTTAATTGGCGCTAAACTAGGCGATTTAAATATGTATTGCATAGAGTTTAATTTTTAATAAATAAATAACAATATAAATAAAATTAAAAGTATTCTCAATTGTTATTTAGAGTTTTTATTATTTGTTTTTTATAAAACATTTCAACTTAATAACAAATAAATAGTAAAAGTATTATTACTATGGCTAACATTTGATGAGTCATTTAATATGCAGACTTATTCCGAGTAATCTATACAATTCGTTTCACATGTGACCGTTATTTTTTGTTCACCCTATTTGACTATGCCCATCGTGTAGATCATAAAAAAGTAGGATAGGAATGTAATATCAAGAAAAAATTTTATGTTGGAATTTTCGAGATATTGCCGTCGGGAAAAAACCCTCCCCCATATACTCCCCCATAGAAAATTCAAAAAATGCGCTTAAATGTGTTACGGCTAACACTTGATGATTCATGATGATATATAGACTCATCAAAATTATGAATTCATATTCTTAAATAGTGAAAATTCAAAAAATGCGCTTAAATGTGTTACGGCTAACACTTGATGATTCATGATGATATATAGACTCATCAAAATTATGAATTCATATTCATAAATAGTAATTGAACTTTGATTACTCGGCGCGTTGATTGTACACTTGTTAAAATAATAAATTAGTCAATAAGTAATATAACATTTACTATTTAGATAATGCTAAAAACTTATAAAATTGTTTGGATAGTCATTATTTTCATTTGAGAAAATGAACATTTTTATTAATCTGCCCTCTTTTTGCCTTTTTTTGTTAGCCTTACTTATTACCGATTTGTTCCTTATAAAAATAATAATTGTAATTCATTGTAATAAATACAAAAAATTTAATTATAAAATTTTACTTACTTACAGAAACTGCTATTTACCATGATCCTTAAACAGGTAAAACGAATTTAATAATTAATATTTTTGATACATTTATTTATTGATGTAAGAATAAAGTCACTGTAATTAAAAACAGGTTGGTAATCAAATTAACTTACCAAATGTTACATTGTTAATATTATTTGCATCTCGCATTATTCCTGGTAAGTTTATTGTCTTCTATAATTTTTATCAAAATATATTCTTATCCCGATCATTTTATAAAAATGATAACTAATTAATTAAACCTATCTACACAGTTAGAAGTTAGGCAAATTATAGTATCTAGATTCTAAATATTATATAAATATAAATCTTAATATTAAATTATAAGTTTGTGAATTTTTTAAATGTCCGAGTACAATAATGGTTGAGAATTATATTAGTTTATTCAATGCTGAGTTTTATTCTAGATTAATTAAAATGTTTAAAAAATAACAAATATATAAATTATGAAAACAATGTAAAGTGATTAGATAAAATTTTAAATATATTATGATAATATAAGTGATGCTCATGTTTAATATACGAGCTGAGAAATGTCAATTTTTTTGTGATTAAAATTATTATTGAGCCAGATCCAATTAGTGGTATTGCGAGTGTAGGGTGCAATGTTCATTTAAGGCGTTGACAATCTTTTCTTTTACCTTTTTATTTTTCAAAATTTTCATCAGCAACCTTTTTAAATGCCGAGTTTTTAGATTCAGTAAAAAACTCCTAGATAATTTATTAAAAATACTAATAAATTAAAATAATTAATACAAATTTAATTATACCTTGATCCGTTCAAGCGAATATTTAGAACCAGGGTTGATGGCAGATCATGCATATTTTGTGGATCATTTGTATTTAATTTCATTATTGCAGTAAGGTAAATTGGTTTCATAAAGTTTATTGTTAATTAAGTAATTAACAATAAATTTAAATCCACACAAACTCTTGTAATTTAACAAAATTATTGTAAACAATTTTGTTAAATTATAAATATTCTGTTTAATTAATTGTGTTTATATACTAATAAGCGTAAAATTAATAGTTCCTGGTTGGATTAACAGTATTACAATAATTTATAACATGAGTCAATAAACATTCTTCTCGGGCACTTTGTATAATAACTTATTATGATATGCGTAAGTAAAACGTTTATGCTATTTATATGCATTGTAACCATTCTGTTTAATATTGATGCAGTGATTAGTTACCATGGTAATAAAGTTACCTTTACATATATTGTACGTAAAAAATACAATACATAAAAAACTTGTTTTTAGTTTGTTTAACTTTTTATTGGTAATTTAATTTTTAAATAAAATCATGAATTAAATGTTTTATAGTGAGCTTGTTATTACCAATTTGTTAATAACAAGCTCACTATAAAACATTTAATTCATGATTTTATTAAAAAATTAAATTACCAATTATTATTATGTTAATTTTAAGTATACTGAAAAATCATTTCATTAAAAACTTTATATAAATAATTTATATGTCTTTATATTCTACCATTGTTAAAACATTATAAAATAATTTATAAATAAATTGGACGACATTGTGTAGATTATAAAATTTAAGAGTTAGAATATTAATAAAAAATTTCAGTATTTTTAATTATCTAGATAACAAGCAAATAACACACAGATACTTTAATATAATACTTTATATTGACATCAATACTATTAGCAACAATGATAATTTAATGTGTGATCTGTGACAAAATGTGTAACAAAATTTTAATTTACTTTTACAAAAACATTTAGTAATACTAACTGTAATTTTTTAAATACACATTTAAAGTTATGAAAGGTAAGTCACAGATAAACTGATTGGATTGGTTTTACACTTATTGTTTTTTGTTTTTTATGATTTAGAAATATACAATACTTTTTATAATATCGTTGTAGATAGAAATTGACGTAGAATATTAATTGTGTTTTGTAACATTTAATTAAATTCTAGTTCTAGAATAACTTAACGAGACACTATAATGAATAACCATGATAATACTATTAGAGGCAAAACAAGTGCAATATGTGATGACCCGTTACAGCGTTGATAATCTTTGCATATATTGTTAAACGTTTTATAATTTTGTTCAGACAGCATTTTATATTGATCATATTCCGAGTCCGTACAAATGCCTCTATACTGCATTAGGAAATTAAAACATAATAAAATTTTTAATAATCAGTGATTATTAATCACATCGATTATGGTAGAATATAATTGAAAACTTAACCATACCAATGATATATCATGATTGCATTGATAGCCAATATAAAAGTTGCAACAAATGTAGTTCATTGATGTCTCGCCAGTGATATCTTTAGGCATTTGTTTCTTAACGCATATCTCTGTCGCCACGAATGCATCCCTTTTACATGTCATTTGGTCGCCAAATGCGCCATGGTCAATTAGGATAAATACTAACATAATAGCCCCAAGGTGTATTGACTTCATTTTAATATTGGTGAGTGATGAATTTACAAATATATAATAAATAAACAACTAGTTTAAAGTAGATTGAATACTTAATTGTTTAATTAAAAAAACAGTGGATGTTATTTGCTGTACCAGTTTTTAGACTAATGAGTTTTACTGAATGAATGATCGTGTTGCTATATTTTAGGGATTTGTATGGATCAATATTAATACCTCGTTGAGATTAAAAATAATAAAATACCTTTGAAATATAAAAACATTGAAAATGATTTAATTACTGGTAATGAAACTTGATGAATAATATATTAAAAATATATAATGATTTTTGTAAAGTTAATACCGGATACAATTTTAATTTAATTAAAGTAAGTAAACTGTAATATTGATAAAACAAATCATAATTTATAATTATAAAAATTGTCAATTATTTAGATTGGAAAGATATTTTGTTCCAAATATTTTATATATTTTTGTTACTAAAAATTTAAGTAAATATTTTTTTTGTGTTAACCTGGACTTTTATTGTAAAATTATAATTTATCATAACTACATAATATTCATTTAGAATTTTAAATAAAATATAAATTATCTCATATAATAAATCTAGTTTAATATGTCTATGTATGTAAACTGTAACGTTTTTAATAAAAATTTTAACATATTTATTTTATATAATTTTGATTTACATATTGGTTAGTAAGCATTAAAGTGGTATAATTTATATTTAAGTTTTTAGAAATACAATTCTGTATTTACTTTTAACATTTTTGATATAATAATAATTAATGAGAATATTCTGTTTGTTTAAACTATTTTATTTTTATATGTTATATTTATTACTAGTGATTATTCAACATTATATAAAAATTTATTATTAATAAATATCCATAACAACAAAGCTGATAAAACTATTATTCTCTATTATATTTATGTATTAACAATATGGTATCCATTATTACTTGCAAATACATTATTACCTCATTAAAAATAAATTATTACATCAAAATAATACTTTTAAGGACATTATTTCTCGGCGTTTAGGTTTATAATAAATTAAATTCTTATTTTACATATCAATATTTCCGGGTTTGATTTCTAATCTTGTTAAAATAGCAAATAAAATAAAACATTAATTAAATAAATTTATAAAAATAAGCATCATAATTAAAATCAGACTGGCTAACATACTAGCTGATTTATTGTTGCATTGTTGAAAATCTTTACAATCTTCAAAACTATTATCACGTTTCTCGTCTTCTAGGGATTTCTTCAAGAGGAAATGCACGTGATCGCATTTAGCCTGGTCAATTAGATAAATTATAAATAAACAATTAATAAGAATAGCAGCTAAATGACAATAGTGCTAGTTATATATGGGGAAAATAGTGCAAAATTAATGAAAAATTAAGTATTTTCTAATAATATTTTTAATAATTTTAAAAACATACATAGCAATAATAAATGTTGACATACCTTAGCAGTCTTAACAGTACAATAGTGATTGTTATACATCATACAGCAGCCATACTCGACCACATTTGATGCATCGATGTCTTCGGGCAGATGTAGTTTCAGACAATGGACGACATCCTCTGCAATAGTGGCGTCGCATTCAAATATATCGTCCGCCAAACCGTCGGTCACAACAACGGTATCGGAATAGTCGGCCCAAACGCCACACCCATATAATGCAACCACGTTTATCATCATATACACGATTATTTTCATTGTTAATTGTGTTTTTAAATACTGTAACTTTATTATGCTGTATCAATAAATTATAATTGATTAAAAATAATTAAAGTATACTGGTCCATAAGGAATGGAACGTTATTTATAATGAAATATACAATGAATTAAAATGAAAATATAAATTATACTCAATTGTGTTTTGAGAATATACTTATGTGGAGAAATGTTTTATAATTGTGCGATAAGACGTTTTTATTTAAACAATGATTAAAAATAGATAAATTAAATATAAAGTGCAATTTTATTTAGTTCATTTAACAAAATGCTTTAGTATTAAAAACTGTAGCTAATAATAATTGTAACATGTTTATAATACATAATCTATCAGTTTAGATTAATTGGCGATTAACCCTAAGAGGAACTATATTTACATATGTGTTGCATAGTTTATTTTTTAATTAATAAATAACAATATAAATAAAATAAAAAGTATTCTCAATCGGTATTTATATAAATGTTTTTATTACATTGTTTGATAAGACATTTTCATTTAATAATAAATAATAAATAGTAAGTGTCTTATATAATTTAACAGATTTTTTGCTTATAAAAATTGTAATTGTAATTAATTGTAATAAATATAGCTAATTTAATTATAAGATTTTACATAATTAGCTGACTTTCTAATTAGCATGATCAATAAACATATAATTATAAGATTTAAATTAATTAACTGATTTGCCTTTTTAAAAGATATTATATATTTGAAAAGATATTTATATCGATGCTTTCCAAAAATGTGGAAATTTGTTCAAGGTAACTTTGCTTATAAGAAATAATCATTTGAACCAAAAGAAATTTTGTAGGATAAATGTGTATTTATCCATGTTCAATTTTATGTAATTATATAATTTTTATGTCTATTGGTTGAGAACATCTTAAACGGACATCTTAAAACAGTGATGTCTAAATATGCTTTGGCACATGTTTTAAATATATAGTATTTATTAACATTTGATGTTGTATATCTTACTCTTCAATACTGGCGTACAGTATATATAACATTGTGAGCACAGGTAGGTTTGACTGTACTGTACTCGTGTCGAGTGTATAGAACTTATACTGTTATGTCTCAATACAAAAGAATATTCTGTAAAATTCTGTACGGAAATCAATAGTGCGATCTCTATGTAAGTACGCATAGTATAAACCTTTATATACGGACATTACTGTACGCACACTTGTATTTAACAATGAATCATTAACATTGACATCTCAATTCTACCATGGTACTGTACGTTATTTTAATAAAATTTATCAAGGTATTTTTGATAATGAATTTTGAAAATTATTGGAGAAAATATATTTAAATAATTATCAACATTAATCAACCATTTGCTATGAAATTATTATAATGAAAACTAAATGAAATACAAAATTAATAATTTAAATATATATCACATTATAAGTTTTAATTTTTTTTATAACAGTTCTCATTACGAACCAAATATTAATTCAAAGTTATGAATCATATTATTAATTTATCAACTTTATTATGCGTTACAGTTTCTTTGTAAAATTGAAATCTAATAATTTTATTAATAAAATTATTAATTTAACTTAAAATAAATTTTATATAAATTTAAATAATTATATAAAATATAATGTAATTACTTATTAGATGTTTTAATATTTTAAGAAATATTTTAATAAATATTATCATGCTAAAATAAGTATATGATTAAACAATTTTAACAATATTCATACAAGTAATAATTATAAGCCACTCTTAATAACCCAGATTATAATATAAAATTGTGGCACACACTAATTTGCCCCATGCCCTACTTGCTAGGGCAAACGTTGACGTGTGCCCCACATGCCGGGGCAGACGTTGACGTGTGCCCTACATGCCGGGCATAAATTGAAATGTGCCCGCCTTGCCCGGGCATACTTTTCACATGTGCCCGCCTTGCCCGGGCATACTTTTCACATGTGCCCGCCTTGCCCGGGCATACTTTTTACATGTGCCCGGCATAACCGGAAAAACTGTATTAAGCAAATATAATCGGTCCAGCATATCCGGGCAAACTGTATGAACTAAATATGATAGGCCCAGCAAATTTGTGCTTATATTTTACTCTATCATGATAAAACTTACACCATTATAAATATGTGTAAAATTAAATAGTCAAATGGAATTTATTATAATTATTAATAAAATAATACAAATTAGTTATAAAATGTTTTACATTAATTCATATATTTGCTTTATACAGTTGGCCCGGATATACCGGACTCATTCTATGTAGTTAATACAGTTTTCCCGGATATGCTGTGCCAATTATGTTTGTTCAATACAGTTGGCCCGGATATACCGGATTCATTCTATGTAATTAATACAGTTTTCCCGGATATTTCGTGACAATTATATTTGTTTAATACAATTGTCTTAAATATGCCGAACCCATTATGTTTAGTTAATACAGTTGTTCCGGATATGCTGGACCGATTATATTTGCTTAATACAGTTTTTCCGGTTATGCCGGGCACATGTAAAAAGTATGCCCGGGCAAGGCGGGCACATTTCAATTTATGCCCCGGCATGTAGGGCACACGTCAACGTCTGCCCCGGCAAGTGGGGCACACGTCAACGTCTGCCCCGGCAAGTGGGGCACACGTCAACGTTGCCCTACCA